AGAGAGAAGACTACAGACCCTGAAGACATCCAAAGGATAATAAGGAAATATTACAAACTTACACTAATTTGCAATTTAGATGAAATGGATCACTTCCTCAAGAAATAGAACCTACCATAACTCACCCAATATGAAATAGATAATTTCAATAGCCTTATAACTATTAAGGGTATTGAATTTGAAAAAAGAAAACCTCAAGGAACATTTAGGCCCAAATAGTTTCACTGGGGGATTCTATCAAATGTTTAAAGAAAGATTACCATCTATTTCACATGTTCTGTTCTAGAAAATACAAAACAAACAAACAACACACTCAAAGATACAAACAATAGAATGGTGATTACCAGAATGGAAGGGAGTGGGGGTGAATGAATAGGGTAAAGAGGGTAAAATATATGGTGGCAGGAGGAGACTAGACTTTGGGTGGCGAGCTCACAATAAAGTATAGAGATGTTCTATCATAAAGTGTACACCTGAAATTTATATAATGTTATTGACCAGTCTCCTCCCCACACTAAATTTAATTAAAAAAGAAAAGAAAATAGAGGAGGTAAGAGCACTTCACAATTCATTTTGTGATTCTGGTATTATCCTGATACCCAAACCAGGCAAAGATAATACAAGAAGGGAAATCTACACACCAATATCCCCAGGAATGTAGATGTAAAAATTATTTAATAAAATATTAAAAAAAGGAATTCAGTAATATATAAAAAGAAGTATATGTTGTGACCAAGTTTATTCCAGGAATGCAAGCTGGTTTCATATTTGAAAACCAATCAGTGTAATCCACCATATTAAGGGGCTTAAAAAAAAAAAAGTCACATGATCATATCAATTAACGCTAAACTTTTTTTTTTCCATAAAATTCAACACCCATGCATGATAAAACTCTCAGAAAAACAGGAAGAGAGGAGAACTTTCTCAACTTGATAAAGAGCATCCACAAAAAACCTATGGTTAGCATTACACTTAATGGTGAAAGATTGAATCTTTTCCCCTTAAATAGAAACAAGATCAGGAATTCAGTGTTTACTATTTCTATTTAACACAGTTTAGTGCTAGAAGTTCTCGCTAGTGCAATGTGGCAAGAACAGGTCATAAAGGAAGAGCTACAACTATCCCTATTTGCAGATGATATGATTATTATGCAGAAAATCCCAAGGAATCTACAAAAATCTAGAACCAATAAGTGAGTTCAGCAAGATCACAGGACATAAGCAAATAAGCAAACAAAATAACACATACGTCCATATACTAGCAATGCATATGTGGACAGTGTATTTTATAGAAATAAAATACAATACTACTTACAATCAGAGAAAAGAAAATACGTAGAAGTAATCTAACAAAACTTTTATGACTTATACACTAAAAACTACACAATGCTGATAAAAGAAATCAAAGAAGGTATAAATAAATAGGTATTCTGTGTATATGGATAGGAAGATTTGACATTGTAAAGATGTCAGTTCTCCCCAAATTGATAAATAGATTTAATGTCACTCTTATATAAAACCCATCAATATTTTTGTAAATATAAATAAGATTATTCTAAATGTATATGGAAAGGCAAAGGAATTGGAATAGCTTCAACAATTTATAAAAATAATAAAGTGAGCCCTAACCGGTTTGGCTCAGTGGGTAGAGCGTCGACCTGTGCACTCAAGGGTCCCAGGTTCGATTCTGGTCAAGGGCATGTACCTTGGTTGCGGGCACATACCCAGTAGGGAGTGTGCAGGAGACAGCTGACCAATGTTTCTCTCTCATCGATGTTTTTAACTCTCTATCCCCCTCCCTTCCTCTCTGTAAAAAATCAATAAAATATATTTAAAAAAAATAATAAAGTGGGAGAAATCACTCTCACAGATTTCAAGACTTATATAGTACATTAATCAAGGCTATTTAGTGTTGGTGGAAGGATAGACACACAGGTCAATGGACTGGACCAGAGAACCCCAAAATGGCCCCATACAAATGTGCCTAATTGATTTTGGGCAAAGGTGCAAAAGCAATTCACTGGAGGAAAAAGTATTTTTATCAAATGATGCTGAACATACTACCCGGCCAAATAAATGAATAAACCTCAAAAGTCTCAGGCCAAAATTACACAAATAGACCACAGATTAGTGTAAAACTATCTGCTTTAGGGAAAAAATGTACGAGAAAATCTCAGGACCTAGGGCTAGGCAAAGAATTCTTAGACTTGATACCAAAACTGTGATTCATAAAAAAATTGATAAATTGGACTTCATTAAAATGAAAAACTATTGCTCTGCAAATGACCCTTTTCAGAAGATGATAAAAAAGATACAAAGTGTGTGTGTGTGGCGGGGGGGGGAGGGTGGGCGCGGGGGTTACAAACCAAATATCTCTGTCCAGGGACTAGTATCTAGAATATATAAAAAATTCTCAAAACTCAACAGTAGAAAAACAATCCAATTAGAAAATGGCAAAAGACATGAAGAGAATATAGAGATGGCAAATAAACATATGAAATGATGTTCAACCTCTTTAGCCATTAGGGAGATGCAAATTAAACACATCTAGCAAAATGGCTAAAATAAAAAATAGTGACAACACCCAGTGCTGGCAAGGATGAGGAAAAACTGGGTCCCTCAGACATGCTGGTAGGAATATATGATGGCACAGCTACTCTGGAAAACTGCTTGGCAGTTTCTTAAAAAGTAAAATGTGCCCAGCAATCGAATTTCTGAATATTTATCACAGAGAAATGAAGACTTGTGTTGACAGAGAAACCTTTACATGAATGTTCATATTTTTTTGTGTAAGCCCTGAACTAGAAACAGCCTCATGTCTTTGAATGGTTAAACAAATGGTGGTACACCCATATCATGAATATTACTCAGTAATAAAAAGAAACAAACCGTTGGTATATGGAGGGGGAAAAATCCAATCCATAAAATGACAGAAGTGATGAGCAGACCAGCGCTGCCAGGAGTTGAGGAGGTATGTGGTGGGCAAGGAAGGGCTAGGAGGAAATGGTTAGGAGGGAAAGTGCAACATGAGGGGTTCTTATGGTGATGGAATGTTCTGTATCTTGACTGTATCAATGTCAATATCCTGGTTGAAATCTTGTACTATAGTTTTACAAGATGTTACCATTGGGGGAAACTGTGCAAAGAGCACCTGGGACCTCTGTATTATTTCTTATACTGACATATGAATCTATACTTATATCATAATAACAAGTTTAATTCTAAAAAAGAAGGAACATTTATAGGACAACGGGAGAATTATAAACACTGACTGGATTTTTTAGTGGGATGGTGGCACTGTTTTTTTGTTTTAAAAGGTTAGTCTAGACTCATAGAAGACCCATACTGAAATATTTGCAGATGAAATGTCTGGAATTTGATAATCCAGACTTGGGGATGGGCAGGTGAGGTGGGAAAAGTGAATAGGCATAAAAAGATGCTTGTTGAGCTGGATAATAGGTGTGGGAGGTTTATAATGGTACACATTACACATGCAGTCAAGCTGTGGGAGTCAGTGTAATACAGTACTTAAGCCACTGACATTGAGACAGTTGGACCTGGTTTGAACCTTGGCTCTGCTACTTATTAGGTATGGACCTTGGGCAACTTACCTAACCTCTCCGACCCTCAGTGTTCGAATTTGTATAGTGGGGATGATATCTCATCAGGAAGAGTGTTGGGTGAGGAAAGAAAAGGTCTTCACACAAGGGACTGGGAGAGGGAGAGAAGGCAGTGCAGGAGCCCAAGTTGGAGGTGGAGATCCAAGGTTAAGTTGGGCAGTGTCTTAGAATCTAGAAAAATATCTCAAAGAGTTTTAAAATTATAACAACTGAACCCTGGCCAAATGGCTCAGTTGGTTGCAGCGTCATCCTGTATAACAAAAGGTTATGGGTTTGGTTTTTGATCAGGCACATACCTTGGTTCCCAGAGGCAATCTCTCTCTCTCTCTCTCTCTCTCTCATTTTCCCCTTCCTCTCTCAAAATCAATAAACATATCCTTGGGGGAGGATTAAAAACAATTGCGACAACTGAGAAGAAGCCATTAGGTTTGTGCTCAGAGCATCATTATGCTGATAATGCTTGGTTTCAGTGGGACAGTGGTGAGAAGCAGGTGGATAGAGAGTGCTGGCAGCAAGTGTGCCATACTCTCAGTCCTTGAAGGGATGGTGCAGTGAGAGCTCCAGAGGGAAGGTGTGTTTAGGCAGGTTAAAGAGCAGAGAGAAGGACCAGTGAGGCAGTCATGAGGGGTCCAGGAGTCCCAAGAGCAAGGTGGAAAAGTAGTCCCTTTTCCATTCAGATTGGACCTGCTACCAAAGCTGTTTTATCTGCCTTGATATTTCCCTCCTTCCTGTTCATGGGCTTCATTTTATACCCATTCAAATAGCTATTTAAAAACAACAACATTATAGGACAATCAGGAATTACCAGTGCTGACCAGATTTTTTAGTGTTATAGAATCTGGGGCTGTGTCAGGCCCTCATGTATATTCATTATCCATTAGGTGTCCTTATGCATAGTGTATGCTAACTATGTCAGTTGCACGTGTATATTATTAGCCTGAGTGACCAGTCTGTGACTGACTCACCAACACCCACACAAAAGGCATCTGTGTTCAACCGGGAAATCCTTAGGAGGAAGGTTTCCCCGTCTATGGGGGTAAAGCTGTGGACTCAGGGAATGAGTCTGTTGAGGCAAGCTTTGTTAGGTTGCTGCTGAACACCTGAAAACTTCCCTGACCTCTCTAGCAAGGTTGCACTGACCCAGAGGACATCCTCCATGTGCTAAAGCTGCAAACTCCTCTCCAAGTGGAGGACTGAGTGGGCTGCTGAACTTGGTCTCTGCTCATTTGATGTGAGGAAGCAAGAGTTCTCAGTGAACTTCAGGGCAACTGTACCCACAGAACCAGCAGCTACCCCAGCAAGAGTGCCCCAACCCATTCATCATACCACTGGGGATGACATCATGGTGCCCCGAACAGAACAGAAACAAAGAATGCATTGGAACGCTTAAGCAGTGGGGTTCATCTTTATTGAGGGGAGCTGTTCACAACTACTGCAAATGGACTAGTTTTAAAAAGCTTCCGACCTCCATACAGCTCTGTCTACATTCACAAAGCCGTAAAAATATATTGTACAATGAACACTTTCCAGAGCATCATGCTAGTTTATAAACTTGTCGGTAGACAATGCAAAATATGATTTACAACAAGATACAGTAAGTTCAAAATTTAAATACTTAAAGTATAATTCTAAAAACTAGCATCGTATGTTTTTCCAGGTAAAGAAGACTAGTCATTATAAAAATATATAAATTCAAAGTCAGTACTAAAACACTTAATCCTATAAAAATATCTTTTACTAATAAAAGTATCCATTTCTAGATTAACATTATCAACAAAAGTTACAATCTTAAAGTTTCAGGAAATACCCACTATGTCAGATGGTCCACTTAAAACAGACATGTGAAAGAAGCTTCAAGGTATGGTTGTCAACCTGTCTTAGTTTTCAGAGATGGACCACATATGTGATCATGTTGCATATTAATGGCACAATTATTCTATAAAACATTAACTCAAGTACCTATGTATTATGAAAGCCATTTATAAACACAAAGTCTCTAGCCTAGAGAGAGGGTCCTTAGGAGAAGACACCAGTTCTGTTAGGAGCTGGCTACATTGCACTTTGAAATGTCTAACTTGGAAAACCAGTGGTTGCATTTTGACCACTATCTGAAATCAGCTCATTCATTTCATTTTGCTTACTCTCCTTTAGGGCATGACTGGGGTGGTTTCTTTGTGTCTGGGCTCTTTTTGATTTCCTGAAACACACTTTCAGCAGCAGGTAGCACAACTCGGCCACATTGAGTAGCATGCAAATCACCGAGGCAGAGATCATAAAAATGGTGAACACGGTTTTCTCCGTAGGTCTGGAGATGAAGCAGTCAACGAGATTGGGGCAAGGATCAACCCCACATTTCAGCACCCAGGGCAGGTGGTACCCATTGTATAGGAAGTAAAACACATACATAAAGGAGGCTTCGAAGATGATTCGGAAAAATATGCTGCTGGTGTACGTCCACCACAGGGCTCCCTCGATCCGAACCTTCTGCTTTTTAATGTCTTCCAAGTCTTTGAATTCATTTCTCTTCTCTCCTCGTCTGAATTTGCGGGCGGCCTCCTGCCGGTAGTAGGCAACGTGCATGGCCACAAGCAGGGCAGGGGTGGAGACAAAGATGAGCTGCAGGGCCCACAGCCGGATGTGGGACACGGGGAAGAAGTGGTCATAGCACACGTTTCTGCATCCTGGCTGCAGAGTGTTGCACACAAAGTCTTCCTGTTCATCTCCCCACACTTCCTGAGCGGCCACCACGAGGATCATGACACGGAAGATGAAGATGACGGTGATCCACACCTTCCCGATGCTGGTGGAGTGTTTGTTCACACCCCCGATGAAAGTGTGCAGGGTACCCCAATCCATTGTATTGGTTTATTCCTAAACAGACAAAAGGAAATTAGCAGAAAGTTCCTTTGAATGTATACAATAGTAGTAATATTATACAGACTGAAGCAATTTTTGCTTAAAATGTGTTGTGATAGCTATAATTTCAACCTCTAAACTGCTGGTAGGAGGTTTTCTGGGGAGGAATGCCCAGTCTAAAGACATTCAAAGATTTTTGTTTATTTGTTTGTTGTTGTTGTTGTTGTGTTTTTTTTTGTTTGTTTGTTTTTTTTAATCAGAGATAACTTTTGAGGGGATTTAATATCATCTCCATTCAATTGACTTCAGGTTATATAATAGGTCACTGTTTAACATAAATACAGGAACTCAGGTAATTCAAATTCCTTCTCCAGTTCCCATGAAATCACTGTGTTTCTAATTGCCCAGAGAGCACAGAGGGTCCATAGAAGGTTTTAGTGATTAAATGGCTTATCCAAGAAAAAAAATTATGCATTGGAATGAAATAATCTGGTTTACCCTACAAACTAAGAAGGGAAAGTAAGAAAATAAATACTTACTGGTTTATTTACACAACATATTTATATTTATTTCTATCCTGAATATCATTCTGCCATCATTGTGGGCTCCTAGAAAACCTAATACCATACCTATAGAAAGACCCTCTTCTTTTATTCTTTTTTTAAAAAAATTAAATCTTTATTGTTCAGATTATTACAGTTGTTCCTCTTTTTCCCCCCCATAGCTCCCCTCCACCCGGTTCCCACCCCACCTTCTGCCTTTACCGCCCCCCCCCCACTGTCCTCATCCATAGGTGCACGATTTTTTCCAGTCTCTTCCCGCACCCCCACACCCCTTTTCCCCCCCAAGAATAGTCAGTCCATTCCCTTTTTATGCCCCTGATTCTATTATATTCACCAGTTTATTCTGTTCATCAGATTATTTATTCACTTGATTTTTAGATTCACTTGTTGATAGATATGTATTTGTTGTTCATAATTTGTATCTTTACCTTTTTCTTCTTCTTCCTCTTCTTAAAGGATACCTTTCAGCATTTCATATAATACTGGTTTGGTGGTGATGAACTCCTTTAGCTTTTTCTTATCTGTGAAGCTCTTTATCTGACCTTCAATTCTGAATGATAGCTTTTCTGGGTAAAGTAATCTTGGTTGTAGGTTCTTGCTATTTATCACTTTGAATATTTCTTGCCACTCCCTTCTGGCCTGCATAGTTTCTGTTGAGAAATCAGCTGCCAGTCGTATGGGTACTCCCTTGTAGGTAACTGACTGTCTTTCTTTTGCTGCTTTTAAGATTCTCTCTTTGTCTTTTGCTCTTGGCATTTTAATTATGATGTGTCTTGGTGTGGTTCTCTTTGGATTCCTTTTGTTTGGGGTTCTCTGCGCTTCCTGGACTTGTAAGTCTATTTCTTTCACCAGGTAGGGGAAGTTTTCTGTCATTATTTCTTCAAATAGGCTTTCAATATCTTGCTCTCTCTCTTCTTGCACCCCCATAATTCGGATGTTGGTACGCTTGAAGTTGACCCAGAGGCTCCTTACACTATCTTCATATTTTTGGATTCTTTTTTCTTTTTGATTTTCTGGTTGGGTGTTTTTTGCTTTTTCATATTTCAAATCTTTGACTTGATTCTTGGGATCCTCTAATCTGTTGTTGGATCTCTGTATAATATTCTTTATTTCAGTCAGTGTATGCTTAATTTCTAGTTGGTCCTTTTTCATATCCTCGAGGGTCTCACTAGATTTATCGGCGGTTTCTAGAAAATTCTTGAAAAATCTTATAACCGTGGTTTTGAACTCTATATCCAGTAGTTTGCTTTCCTCCATTTCTGTCATTTGTGACCTGTTTCTTTGTCTCCGCATTTTGGCTGCTTCCCTGTGTTGATAGAGTGGTTTTGTGTGCTAGGTGTCCTATAGGGCCCAGTGGCTCAGCCTCCCCAATTACCTGAGGTGAACACTCTTGGTGCACCCCTTTGTGGGCTTTGTGCACAGTCTTGTTGTAGTTAAGCCTTGATTGTTGTAGGTATCACTTGGAGGAATTGACCTCAAGGCCAATTGGCTGTGAGAATCAGCTGTGTCTACGGTGGGAGAACTTCTGTGCTGTAGACACCCTTATGGGGCAAGATTTGCTTCAGTGGGACTTTGGTGCTCACTGAGTCTGCCCCCTGAGTGTGTCCCTTATGGCTCTGAGGAGTTGTAATCTGGATGGTCCCACTCTGACCACTGGGTACACTGGCTCTTGGATCTCTAAGGAGGTGCTAATTTAGTCTCTGCCTGAGGCTACCCAGCAGGAGCTATGGAGAGATCTGCAGATTCCTCTTCTTTGTTTGGGGTTTGGAGGTGCCCAGATGAGGCCCAGCTGTGAAGCAATGCAAGCTGTTGTGGGGCCTTGGGCCTTCTTTTGGATGTTCTGGGTCTCTCTAAGCCAGCTACAGTTTGTTAGGTAATTTTAGATTGCAAAGGGCCAGGCCATTCATATGCAAAAACCTCAGCGCACAGCTTGGGTGGGGTGGGGTCTCAGGGAATCAACAGGGTGGAGCAAACAGCTATGGCTGATCCTCAGCCCTGCCCTAAGAGGCCCCGGGTCTCAGGGTCCTGCGGTAATCGCTGCAAGCACCTCTGAGAGAAAGCCGCCCTCGAGTTCCGACTGATGCCAGACAGTCCAGTTTCTCCCCGTATGAGTCTGGGTTCCCAGAGACTTGCCCGGAACTGGAGTTCAGAGCCGTTGGAACTTGTGTCTCCCTCCCGATTGAAAAAGACAATCACGTCCTCAGTTGCCAGCCCTTTCCGCGTGCGCCTCCGAACCTCTGCACTTTACTTCCGCACCTCCTCTGAGTCCCAGTGTGCTTTTCTCTTTCCTTCTAGTTGTAGAATTTCCACTCAGCCAGCCTTCCTGTGGTTCTGGATGATGTCCGTTTTGTCTTTTAGTTGTATTTTTGAAGTGGTTGCACAAGGCAGCAATTTCAGGTGTTTACCTATGCCGCCATCTTGGTTTCTCCGGAAAGACCCTCTTCTAAAAGAGAATCATAACTTTCATAAAAGGTGCTCACTTGTTCTTCCTTGTAACCAGGCTGATGATGGCCTTCTTTTCCCAGCAGGTACCACCACACCAACAGTTGTGGTGAAGGACTCGTGCCACTGCAACAATGAGCCTCACTCCCTTTTAGCTCCCAGATTTAATGTCCTGGGAGAAAAGGACTTCTTGCAGAAACTTTTGATACAATTCAAACAGATGTCTTCCATGTTACCACACAAGACTAAAAAGTTGGTTTCAATCTCCTTGAAAATAAAGTGATGAGTAATGAACACTTTGAGAGTCTTCTGAAAGTGAAAGGCCCTCTCCTCAGAAAAACCCACCCATACAATTTTTTCACACTCTTTTAGGGGAGGAGGGAGTCATCAAAGTCCTTCTGTTAACCCATCTTAGACTTTCTTGAACTGCAGTCAGTATTCTTCCTAGGCTGACTCCCCACCTGCCATGAGTTTGCTAACAGTCACCACGATGATGGCAATGGCACAGACATATCTTAGTGTCAAAATGATGTTTTTCAGACACCTCTCATGCCATCAGAAAGTTAACTGTCTTTCCATAGTCCATTTAATAACTACACCCTAACTTTTTATTTAAGGAATATTTTATCCCTCAGAAGGAATATCCTTATAAGCAGGATATTCATGCCATACAATAAGGCTTCCTAGAAAAACTCAAGGTTAGGCTAGAGGAGGAGATTAGCATGCCTGCTCTCTGGGAGCCCACACCTGAAGTATTGTGTTTGTTCATATCACATCAAGAAAGACACTGGCAGGGAGCCTCCCAAGATGGCGGTGTGCATGGTGGTGATAGCCAAGGAGTGTCCCTACAGAGAACGAGCTGAAGTTCCACTACATGGTACACACGTCCCTGGACGTGGTGGATGAGAAGATCTCTGCAATGGGGAAGGCCCTGGTGGACCAAAGGGAGCTCTACCTGGGCCTGCTGTACCCCACAGAGGACTACAAGGTATATGGCTATGTGACCAACTCTAAGGTGAAGTTTGTTATGGTGGTGGATTCTTCCAACATAGCGCTTTTTGACAACGAGATTCATAGTATGTTCCAGAAGCTGCTTGTTGACTGAAGAAAAGTGTTTTGTACTCGAAAAATAAAAAGAAAAGAAAGACACTGGCAGGCTGATGACCTGCTGGAGTGTGGCCAGGTGGCAGAGCCTGGAAAAACTCTCTCAGGAGGGGACACTGAGGGGAGCTAGAGCAGTTTAGCTGGAAGACAGCTCTCAGTCACAAGGCAACAGGAGGATCTAGGGCTAAGAATTGAATCCAAGATAGAATGAACAGAAAGCCAGGATTTTTTTTTCTTTTTCAATTACAGTTGACATTCAATATTATTTCATATTAGTTTCAGGTGGACAGCATAGTGGTTAGACATTTATATAATTTAAAAAGTGATCCTCTCACTTTTTAGTCTAGTACCCATCTGGCATCATACATAGTTATTACAGTATTATTGACTATATTCCTTATGCTGTACTTTACAACCTTATGACATTTATTTTATAACTGGAAGTTGGTTACCTCTTATTCCCCTTCACCTATTTCACTTGCCCCCTCAACCGCTCCCCACTCTGGCAACCATCAGTCTGATCTCTGTATCTATGAATCTATTTCCATCTTGTTTGTTCATTTATTTTGTTCTTTAGATTCCATATGTAAATGAAATCATATGATATTTGTCTTTCTTTGTCTGACTTTACTTAGCATAAATATCTTCTAGGTACATCCATGTTGTTGCAAATGGTAAGATTTCATTTTTTTATGACTGAGAAAAAATGAAATATATATATATAATATATAGAATATGATATATATATATATATATATATATATATATATATATACACATA